GTAAAGCTGATTCTTGTTTCCTGAGTGTTACTTCTTGGGGCCTTCAGATAAAAGAACCAGTTGAATCTATATTCTACAGGAGTCCATAAAAACCCAAAGAGTAAAAGATATCGCATTCTGGATCTGAAACTCTGTGCTGTTGGAGGGTAGTTGCTAACAGGGTTTGTATTTAGGCGAGGAAACCTTATGTGGATAAATAGAGGCATGTGGGGGAGACTCAGCCAGCTGTATAAAAGAGAAGCAGAGTAATTGCGTGTGTACTGTATGAAAGTGTGTGTGTGTGTGTGTAGTTAAGATGCTGGGCACTTCAAAGCTTTGATGTTGGAGCTCCTAAATGAGGGCCACCAGAGGTCCAGACTAATGGGACATCATGTGGAGATAAGAGGCCAAGTGCAGCAAGCTGACAACACACCATTATGTTTGTAAGTGGCAGATGTAGAGAGAGAGTTTGTGTGCGATTCCCAGTGTGTATTCCTTTTGCAATTAAAAGTGAAAGTTTAAATCTCACATGGAGTTTGTTGGTAATTGGACAGGAAGCATTTGCAAACCCCAGTTCCAATGAAGTTGGGACATTGTGTAAAACGTAAATAAAATCAGAATACATTGACTTGCAAATCCTTTTTGACCCATGTTTAATGGAATACACAACAAAGACAAGACATTTAGTGTTCAAATTGATAAACTTTATTGTTTTTTGCAAATATTCACTCATTTTGAATTTGATGCCTGTAACATGTTCGAAAAGAGCTGGGACAGGGGCAACAAAAGACAGGGAAAGTTGAGGAATGCTCAAAAACACCTGTTTGGAACATTTCACAGGTGAACAAGTTTATTGGAAACAGATGAGCATCATGATTGGGTATAAAAGGAGCATCCTATAAGGCTCAGTCATTCACAAGCAAGGATGGGGCGCTGTTCACCATTTTGAGAACTGTGTGAGCAAATAGTCTTAACAGTTTAAGAACAACATACAATTACAAGGAATATAAGTGTTTCATCATCTACAGTCCATAATATCATCAAAAGATTCAGAGAATCCGGAGAAATCTCTGCACGTAAGCGGCGAGGCCGTACACCAACACTGAATGCCTGTGACCTTTGATCCCTCATGCGGCACTGCATTAAAAACAGACATCATTCTGTAAAGGATATTACCACGTGGGCTGGGGAACACTTCGGAAAACTATTGTCAGTTAACACAGTTCGTCGCAACATCTACAAGTGCAAGTTAAAACTCTACCATGCAAAGTGAAAGCCATGCATCAACAACACCCAGAAACGCCACTGGCTTCTCTGGGCCCGAGCTCATCTGAGATGGACTAATGCAAGGGGGCAAAGTGTGGTCTGACGAGTCCATGTTTCAAATTGTTTTTGGAAATCATGGACGTCATGTCCTCCGGGCTAAAGAGGAAAAGGACCATCCAGATTGTTATCAGCTCAAAGTTCAAAAGCCAGCCTCTGTGATGGTATGGGGGTGTGTTAGTGCCCATGACATGGGTAACTTGCACATCTGTGAAGGCACCATTAATGCTAAAAAGTACATACAGGTTTTGGAGCAAAATATGCTGCCATCCAAGCGACGTCTTTTTCAGGGACATCCTTGCTGATTTCAGCAAGACAATGCCAAGCCACATTCTGCACGTGTTACAACAGCGTGGCTTCGTAGTAAAAGAGTGCGGGTACTAGACTGGCCTGCCCGCAGTCCAGACCTGTCTCCCATTGAAAATGTGTGGAGCATTATGAAGTGCAAAATACGACAACGCAGACCCCGGACTGTTGAGCAACTGAAGTTGTACATCAAGCAAGAATAAGAAACAATTCCACCTACAAAGCTCCAACAATTAGTGTCCTCAGTTCCCAAAGGCTTAAGTGTTGTTAAAAGGAAAGGTGATGTAACACAGTGGTAAAAATACCCCTGTCCCAGCTCTTTTGGAACATGTTGCAGGCATCAAATTCAAAATGAGTGAATATTTGCAAAAAACAAAGATTATCAGTTTAAACATTAAATATCTTTGTCTTTGTGGTGTATTGAATTAAATATGGGTCAAAAAGGATTTGCAAGTCATTGTATTCTGTTTTTATTTACATTTTACACAATGTCCCAACCTCAAGGGACTTGGGGTTTGTAGTTATGTCGACATGTATTGCTAGAATGTCAATAATGCAAAGAAAATATTGCATCAATCAGACTTCCTTGTTCTTTTACACTAGCGTCTCCAGTGATATGTCATCTAAATGTAAGAAATTCTCTACTAACTCGTTCCTCAGTATGGTATAAATCCTTTATTAAATAATCATAACAATAATTATAATAACAATCATAAAAAGAGCATTTCTGTACAAAGACCCCTTTAAAACAACAACAACAGCAGCAGTCTGAGCAGTGTGAAGGGGGGGAGCCTTTCCTCTAATTTGTTTGGTCCTCCCGAGCAGAAGGGGGCACTATGACTGTCAGTCAGTGTCAAATCACTATATCAGATCCCGGCTCCAAAGGCAAGCTGGATCCCTGAGGCCCCAAGGCACTTTGCAGAGAGTCAGTGGGGTCCAGAGATGCGGCCTCAGAGAAGAGGGACAGAGAGTGTGTGTGTGTGAATGCACATGGTGAAGGTATATGGGATCAAATTAAATGCATGGGTAGTGAGTCTATGGTCTCAGATATATCTCTATCGGCAGCTGATGCCTTCATTTTTAGGTCTGAATGCCTCTAGGTGTGTGTGTGTGTGTCCAAAATCTGCTTCATGTTTTGTATATACTGTACATGTGTATATACAAGTGAAGTAATGTGCGCATGTGCACGGGAGGATCTCTCACCCTCTCCTTCTCATGCCTTATGAGTCCATTCAGAGCGTGCAAGAGCAGACCCTTTCTGGCTGGTTTAAAACCGTCCCCACCTTGCTGTGCAAGTGCCTTCAATAAAAAAAACAAAAACAAAAGACAAAACGACTTCAGAAGACAGGCCGCAATTAGCCCAGCAGGCTGAGGTGAGGGTGGTGTGATGTATGGATATGTTTTTTGGGGGGGAGGGTCCTTTAAATCATGGCTTTTGAGGTCCACATGTAAAAAGAGAGAAAGATGGACAGCTCGTGTCTCTTCTTAATGTCATCTCAAATTTCCTTTTTCAACATTTCCACAGTTTGCTTTTAAGGCTTGTTTCTCTCTGGGTGCACAGTCAGTCGATTGAGAAAGCTGTTCCTGGCTGTGCATTTGTTTTTGATCTCTTTTCTTTGTCCTCGTGAAAGCACAGAGAGAGCATTGCCCCTGTGAGAGAGAGAGGCAGGGGATTTCAGTGCTTTGTCAGCCAGTCTCACTCTCTGTGTTTCTGTTTCTTCAGTGGTTTTCAGTCTCTGCTCTTACCAGCAATCCATAGGTTGCACTACCCAAAGATCCATGACATTTCCCCATTAACCATAGTGTTAACATGACCTTCCCTTTAACAGGAACCAGTAACAACAGTCTCAACAACCAAATAACCAACAACCAAATCTAAAAATAACTCTTTCGGTCATAAATAGAATGTGTTAAAACGCTCCCCACCTCGACAGTCACTTTCTTTGCCTCTTTTTTCTACTTATCTGCCATCACAGACTAGCAACAGGCCAGAACACAAACATTAAACAGAACGAGAGTGACTGAGCAGAAAGACGAACTCGAGGGATGTCGGTGACTAAAAATACCACAGACTGTCAGGAACTAAGAGGATAACTGAGGCTGATAGGTAGCAAAGTCTACGACAGAACAAAAAGCCAACAGGCCACACAAAGAAGCTAAGTTCTAGGCCACTGTGTTCACATGTGATCAGAAAAGACACTTTCTACCCTACCACCTTTCCAACACAATGTGTTCTGACTCAGTATGTGTAGCTTACATTATCCAGTTGTAAAACTAGACCTCATATAAATCTAAGATGCTTTTATAAACAGTTCTCTTTTGGCAGAGCATGAATCTGTATTTGATATGTGAAGATATTTATTTTTTGAGGCCTGTAATGGAACAATCCATCTGGGTAACCCCAGTCTTTCTCTTATTGGTTGTCAAACACTGGACGATGCCACGGTTTCCAAACAGGAAACAAGTTCTCATTTGAGCTAATGAGCGACTTTCTCGTCCATGTGTCCAGGGATCTGCACCACTGAGGAAGAAAACGGACACAAAGATGAACTGGAGGAAATGAAGAAAATGGCGAGAGGTTTTCTCAAAAGGGCTGTATCTCTTGCTGTTGTTCTATCTCTTTTTGGGTTTCCTCTCTCATGCCTCAGTGCAGCAGCGCTGTTGGTTCAGTTTAACTTTGTGCTTGAGGCCGTCATACAGTTCGAAGTTGTAGTTTTCCAGGGTGGTGGAGGAGCGTGACGAGAGGCCGCTGTAGGAACAGGTGCAGTACAGGAGGAGGCCGGCACAAACCGCACCGAGCAGGACGCCCAGAGCGCTCATGACAATGATGGTGACCAGGATGGGGTCCAGAGTGTACAACCACGAGTTGTCCTTCTCTGAGACATGGGTCACTGGAGGATCTGATGATGGAGATGGTGTGTTCCATTCGGGGAACTGTAAAGCTGTGGCAAAAGAGAGGAAAACAAAAATAATCTGTTTTATAGAATTTATAAAGAAAACTGAAGATTTTGGGATTGAGGATTTGGTTTTGTAAATGAAAACTGTTTTGTTATTGAAACGGAAATGTGACAAAAACTGTCTCTACTGATCAAAAGTTGGCTCGGCTGGTGCCTTACCTCCACCCAGTGGGTCTCTGCCACTGAACAGTCGTCCATCTCCAAATTCATTGGGCTTTTTAACTGTCAGAGAAAAGCAAAGGAAACACTGCCTTTCAGCATCAAGCAAATTGTTAAAGCACAGCAAGTGCACTGAAAAATGTTGCTAAGCCGAGCAACAAACTCATCTCCATTCAAAAAGTGGTAACTGAAGTAGCAACATATTTGTTACTTTTGCCAAATGATTTTAATGAGTATTCAGTGGTTTGTGGTTCAAATTGAATTCCTTATCAATCATCAGCAATAGTGGGAACCACATACATATATATAAAAAAAACCTTTTTAATACTGTAAGGTAGTTCATATTTTTGGTGTTATTTTTAATCATTTAGAGATGTAGCATTCATTCACACACATAACTCTCAGAATAATAGAAAAATATGACTTTATTATTAGAGAAAGACAAGTATGATACATTCTTGTCAAACACAGTTATCATGTAAGATACTGATGGTATAAGACTGTTCATTCCATGTGAATAAAGATTAAAACATGACCAAATAATTAACATTACTCATCATTATCACCATTAAAATCATCGACAATTAATGTCAAGTTTAAGAGTGGTGTATAAGATGATCAAAAGAAAAAAAAACATTAAAAGCAACACATGGCAACATTTAAGTAGTGTTGTTGAAATCATTTGACAGATTTAAGTGTTTGAACAGGAAGATCACTAGTGCGGTAAAAGTAGCAATGTCTGCAACACTTGACCTGAGCCCAGTAGCATAAATGTACTTTAGATGAGTTTTCTTTTCACTTTTTGTGTGTGTGCATTTGAAAGTGTGTGTTTGTGCTTGCTGCTCTTGGCAAGCATTCAGGAGTGGGAGTAACTGCTTGGCAAGGCACAAGTCTAGATCTGGAGGTCTTTGATGGCCAGTGGTGTAATTAATACTGTTACCAGGGCAACTGAAGTTGGCAGCAGATTGGATGATGGAGGTGTGGTAGTTGGGAGGAAAAAGTGCTTACTGCAGCCTTAATAAATGCTATCTATCCATTAACTAATTACAACTATTAGAGGCTTGGAGCGTAATGGTGTCGAGATGGACCAAATAGGTTGTCCAGTCTCTCCTCTCTAGGTTGATTTAAAAGCACACAGTGAAAGTGTGCCAAAAAAACCCTTTTTCCTCTCCGGAGCTTCTAAAATGTGGCCACAAATCGAGGTGCATTCTGCTGAGCTGTGGGCTAGTTGGTGATGGATTTGTACTGCTGTGACAGATCACAAAAGCACGGCCCGTTAAGCCACAGAGCGAAGACCTCAATTTCATTCAATTCACAGTGTTAAACTGAGCTTGTGTCAAATCTGACCTCTCTGTTCTGGCTGATGAGAAAGAAATTGGTGCCAATTTGTCTGTCCCGGTCAGTTTTGAGAACATTCACATTAAAACAGGCTTTTAGATCCCAGATATGTTAAATATGTTTATGTTAGGAGCCACTCAAGGCATCTTATGGCACTAAAGGAAGAATGATCAATAGCTGGAGCTCTGCTCTGGTTTTCATAATGTCTTGGATCCCTCTCAAGGGTACACATATTGTGTAAAACAAAAACACTGCGCTTATAGCTTCCAGCTGTGGGATCTGTCAGAGGATAAATCAAAAATCAAAAACGACAGAGTGACAGCAGACAGCTGTGTCTATTTACAGCTCTGAAAACAAGCACATATAGTATTCACACTGAAAACACAACAAGACTTGGCTCAACTTTCATCTGGGCAGCTCAAAGTCATGAAGAAACATGGGGAGTGGGTGGTATGAAGCATGAATGGGAGTGGAACAACGTGCTTTATTACGCCAGAGAATCAAGATGAAACACTAAACACTGAAGATGGCTGCATCCATCACTGACTGATGCCTTTATCAGGAGAAGACGAGAAGTGAAATCAAACGTGCTGGTTATCTCCATTTATAATGCAGGACTTTAAGTATGATGGATTTGCATGCCTTTGTTTTTAAATGTGCACATGCTTTGTGAAAAGGACAATGGAAGGATTTTTTTCTTGTCAGTTACAATAGCCTCACTATTGGTACAACTCATATCACACCTATTTCCTGTTGTTATTACAGAGATCCAGAGTGCTTTATTTTCCGGGACTTGCCAGATCATTTCCACAGCTAGTACGCTGAATGCCTAACAGTTTTCCTTCTGTCTCAGCGCTGCAGAGCTTCTCATGTCTCTGGGGTCTTGTTTTAGCCTCTGGTTTGGCAGCTCTGGCTGGCTCTTGCAGCAGAACTGGCTTGACCCCATTCTCAACCCAGCCCACACATGTCTGTGTGTATGTCCATACTGGGATCAGTCCAGGAGGACTGCTGGGGTTATGAGGAGCCAGTCAGGTCTGAAACAAGCTGTTCAGATAACTTCAGTCCTCTCATCACGAGCAGCATAGTGTGAAATGCAACATCAAACTCCTTATGGAAACAAAGAAGAAAACAGCAACCGAAGCTACATCCATTACAGACAGAAAGAGAGAGCACTGTTTCTTTGCAAATTTTCACTTGGCAGTTCAGAACAATGTCTGTGTCATCATCACCCTTGCAACTGTAAACTAAAGGAGGGAGGGGTTCTTCAAGTGGATGTTCTGTCAGTCTTGCAGCACGACGCACACTGCCACTGACATCACAAGCTGCCATCCTGCTCTGGCAAACACAGCACGGCTAAGTGTTTCTTTTCAGCAGAGCGTACGGTGTCGATCCCGGCTGTCCAACCTCACTGTCAGGACTGGCTCCACCCCTGGGGTGGCCATACTGGAGGACCAGTTAGAATACTGGAAGCACTGCGAAGAGCTGTGATAGGCCACTGACAGCTGGCTCTTCTTGGTGGCCAGGTGTTGTCGGCAGCAACAAAGGGCTCTGGCCAAGATGGCTACCGCCAGGAGAAGGAGGGCGCCCCCGGCGGCCATAATGTAATACCAATGGATGGGCAAGGGAGGCACAGGAACGCCTCCCCCTGGTGGAGAGATACAGAATAATTGGCCAGTAGGAAAAGAGAGGAGTGGCACTTGTTTATTTTCTACATTTAATTCCCTATTTTCTATACCTACTGGTGTTCATCATAGGAACAACAGGCGTGCACCTCATATGAGCATGCACAAGCATGCGCTTGAAATCAGTCCAATGGTTCATCCAATCACATGCAATAAAATAAATTTTTTAACGCTCCAGTGAAATGACTTGGTGTGAAATGGACGCCAAAATAATTAGTTAGAAAAGCACCCACACACAATGAATTAAGGAGCTTCTTCTTCCTGTCTTGCACTGGCACAGGAAGTCACAAACAGCCCCCTGATAAAGTCTCAGAACCATGCAAGAATCATCCAAACACCACATGGGAATCCACTGTTCCAGAGCTCTCTGAGCCGAAGTTGGGCTGGGATTTGTTATTTAGCTGGCTTGAGTTGGCAGATTTGTTTTGAGTACATAATTTATCCCATTCTCTGTTCTTGGTTTTTCATTTTCCTTTTTCTCATGCAGCCGTCTCCTGGCCAGTCCTCTCTTCCTCAAGCCAAGCGCTGTCTCCTTGGAGACCATCTCCACAGATCCTCTACACTGCTGCCCCTGGCTTGAACCCCCCCTCTCAAATTCTTGGTAAGAACCAACAAGCCACCTTCCAAGAAGCCTCTACTTGACTATCTAAGTCTGCTATGCAAAAACAAACCCTTAAACACAGTGAAAAACATGTCCACATGTGCATCCAGACTTGACGTAGGGAGCTATAAGCCCGGGAGAATCATACACTGAAGTTGGGAAAGTGAAGCAGACCTGAATACATCCTGATTTTTGGACCATATCACATAATTACAGAGGGAAATGGTGCGTGCTCCTGCTGCTTCACACTGCACACACTCATTAGACAGAGCTGAGTTAGGGAGAGGAAAGAGGGGGACTCCCTGTGCTTGCTGCTGCTCAGTCACTCTATCTGATTGCTTTTCACTAGGGACACTGGTGTGTGTGGTAATATTAATGTGTGTTTGTGCATGTTTGTCAAGGGTTAGAGACTGTGTGTGAGTGTGTGAAGATGGAGGAGTAGAAAAGCTGAAGAAGTGCACACGCATCACATTTGCACTAAAACCGTCGAGCTCTTATCTTATGGGAAGACATTATGAGATGCCAAAACAATAACATCAATCTCATAGAGTCCCCCAGGATGCTCCAAATATTTTTCATGAGGCAGACAGTTATTTAAACCCCTTCAGGCTGTGTCAGGCAGCTTAGAACAGAGACTATGTAGTTCTTTTCAAATATCTCACTCCATGAGGTGTGCTTGATTTAGTCTGCCTTGCATGTAGAGTTTGCTCTTTTGAGACTAATTCTTTGTTTCCACTGAGACTGACAAAGTAAAACTAATATATAACAATAAAAATATCATATGATCTACTTTCTGACTTGAATAGAGTTTGAGAAAATTCATTTGGTATTTGTAAGGATTTTAGTGTCTGTTTGGTGATGTTTTAAAATGAATGTAGTTTTATTAATCTGGAATTGCACAGCTCCAGCAGACTCAGTCTCTGTGTTGTCGGTGAAGGACTGGTTTGGGCTGAATGTTTAGACGGTGAGACAACTTAGTGCCACCAAGCAAAAAACCCCAGGCTAGTGCATACCAACGGGCAGAATGCAAGACCAGAGAGGAAGTGACATCACACCAAAGTGACACTCACCTGGATTTTCAGGAGAAAAAGCTGTAAAGGGCTCTGCAAGGACAGACAGACAGGAACAGAGAGAGAAAGACAACTGTTAGACAACCTTAAATATGGGGTAAAAGTCAGTCAAATGTCACACAACTATCAAACTCCTGAGAACCTTAGTTAATTCCTCATATAACTCACATGAATTATCGGGTCCTTTTTTACAATGCATTTTCAAACAGAGCACATACTGGGAACTTGAGATGGGCTGGCTGAGAGTGCAAAGGCTATGTGTGTATGTGTCCATGATTGCAAAGTTCACGCATTTCAAGTTGTTTATCTGCAAAGTCCAGTTAAACTGGAGGTTAGGCTTGCTGCAAATACACAGAGCAGAACCTTCACTTTGACTGCCTGGAATGCAAACACAAGGAGCTGGTATGTGTGTCTCAGTGAGTGTGTGTGTGTCAGGGGGGCGGGTGAGAATTAAAGAAAAAGGGAAACCAACTTGGGACCTGGCGCCTTTTGCTGGGAATGCCAGCATACTGTGAAAAACTCGACTGCGTTGGGTGATAAGCAACATCCCAGCATGCTCTGGGAGTAGCAAAGGAGGAGAGGGAAAGGAAGAAGGAGGCAGAAGGGCACTGGGAGCTGGGCTGTCATCTTTGCCATCCAAGTTGCTGTGCTGCTTTGATTCTCTCAAGATTCTCACACACACATACACACAAAAAAATCACTGGGAGAACGCAAAGAGGCAAAAACACACAAAAAAGACATGTTTGCCACAAGCTAGGGACGTTATAAACACACACATATTCCCTCAGTTACACTTTGCCTGTGGTCCTGGACCTCACTACGGTCCAGCTCCAAAAACCATGGGATGTCAGTCAGAAGTGATGACAGCAGGTTTTTTGCTCTGAACCCCCGGCTTGGTCTCTGATCTCTTTAAAACCCTCTCCAAAGCCTCTGCTCGGGCTAGATTAAGGAGGCTACGCTGGTGCTCAGCTCACACCAGGCATCCAGAAACTTGCTTGGGAAACAGCCTGTCTAGTAACTCCCTTTGACAGCTCAGGAAAAGCTCTGTTTACAAATATGAGGAGCGGAGTGAATTCAAGAGAGATAGAGAGAGAAGAAAGAAGGAGAAGAAGAGAAATGTAATGAAACATAGATTAGCATCGCTGGGGCCCACAGGGCGTTTATGGCCTAGTTTTCCTATTCTTCTTTTTTTTTTGTGAAGGAGTAAATGCTGTCCCTCCCTCTGCTTTCTCCTTTCATCTCTGTATTTGGTGGGCTCTTTAGGGAGGCAGTCTCCAAAACTGGGATGAGAAGGTGAGGGAGTGAAGAGAGGACTGGAGGGTGGGTGTGTTTATCATGTCATGCCGTCACTGTTCAAGGACCTTAAAGCTAAAAGTGGAGGCTGAAGGGAAAG